TCTCTAAACAATTCCTCCTCCAGCGTCGCCAACCACAACTAAATATTTTTCCACTCTGTGCACAAAAGCAATACATATCGCAAAAACCTAATAATAGATCCACGCGGTCAAGTCCCAGCTCCACCGTTGCATTTCTTGGGTCGATTCTAAGCTACAATAAACTATCAAACATGACCAAACACAATCACGATAGTGAAATCGAAACTTAAACACACGAAATCTATCCAATTCAGACACAATAGTTAGCTCCAAAAGCTCTTTCTACACATCAGCCAACACTACTAATAGCCTCACAATAATTATATTTAATTTTTCCCCTATTTTACTTAATTTTACTTCCGACGATTTCAGTCCCACACGATAACCATAACCGACATGAATGACCATTATTCCGCACATATTTTCCTCCAGCCGAATCTAGCCGCACGAACCGCCATTCCACCCAACAACACAATTTTTTTATGACAAATACCGATTACTCCTCACTTGAAAACAGGCAAAAACTCACAAACTGGCGGTTTTTTTATGGTATACAGTGTGATAATTCAATAATCAATAATTTATCTCTATATTAAGTGGCAGATCGTTAATAAATTTTGGTAAGGTACATAAATTCTATAATCCATATTAAATTTGCTATGCAAGCGCCGATCGAAACAAACGTTATGGAATGAAAGCCGAGTGAAAAACGAAGTACACCAATACATTCAGGCCTACAATTCCACACCTTGTATAGACCAAGTTGTGACGCACTATCTCAGATCGCAATAAACTCACGTCATGTTGTGTAAAATAACAAAAGGAATAAAATGCCGCAAGCTTCCCACAATATGAAACGATCCGCCGAAACAAAACACCCCAGAATCCCCCGAAAACTCATCAAAGCAAATCAAACACATCAAAATCTGATCGGCAAGTGCGTTCGATCGCGACATTTATTTTCAGCGCATCATATTTTGGTACCTAACCGTACCAACCGAGTAACAGGCTACACGCGATCGAGGCCATCCTTCCGGAAAACGGGAATCGATGAAAATAAATTTACAGCAACAATCTTACACTGGCACCAAATCAGTATATCCGACAACACATTCGCGATGCTTCTATGCATATTTCCCTCTCTCTAAGGATGTACGATAGTTATTCGTTCGACTAACTTTTCTTGGCTGGCACTTTCATCACTATGATTCGCTACTATCAATCAAGATCCAAGCCCAAACACAGCATGACCGAACGTCTTTGTCCCCGTGCGAGCGTTGCTACGCTTGTAACTAGAGGAACGAAAATTTTGTAGAATAGTTATGCAGAAATTTCTGTTTCATTTGTATGGGAGCTCCCCCTTACAGAAGAAGGAGGGGTCTCGAACCATCATAAGAACCTTTCCCGGCCACAAAACCCATGCATACAAATTTTCACGCCGATCGGTTCAGTAGTTTCCGCGTCTATAAGGGTCAGACAGACAGACAGACAGTAATTCATTTTTATATACGGGAAATGGATTAATGTCGGCCTAAATGCCCCTAATTTGGGCCCATACATAAATTCAGCAATCGACTACATTTTCAGTAGTGACCAAAAATATCCATTAACACCGTCCCAATGATGCGTTCATCTAGATAAAATTGATAAATAGCAGATTTTTAGCGATGGGCCCAATCTTAGATCCATAGGCCAACATTAGAGCCATTTCCCCTATATAGATTTAAATCACAAAATCAAAAATGCCGACTCTTCACATCTCCGAACACATCACAAGCTATCGAAGACATACCGGGAAACAAGAGGGAATGTGGAAGCAGCAAATAAAGCACAATTGCAGCAGCAATTTAAGAACAAAGCGTGTGCAAATATCCAATTTCATTAGAAAAAAACCCGATTATTTGCCTTGATTTGTTTTCCGTCGATCTTGTTTTCCTAACTGAGTATCAATGCTACCGATGCCAGGAGGGCAGCTCCCATACCCTTCAACTCATGGACCAGGGAACCAATGGTTTTGCTTCCTTCAGAGATGTTCTGCATCAGAAAATTGATATGGGTATTGAACTCAGGCACTTTGGAGTGAGAGGCAGTTACACTCACCACTACACTAACGGTGGCACTCGCCTCGAGGCTTCTAGTCCATAAAATTCTATCCCTCTTACGCACAAGCACAACTGAAAAACTGATAAACCATTCGGGAACAAAATGAACGCAAACAACAAATTAAATTTCAATCCCAGTCGGCGCCGCTGGGATGTTCTGAGGAATAACATATCTGATCACGCCTTCATTCGGAACGGAAATAAAGCCGTTGGTCCCCGGGTTCATGAGTTGATGGGTCGATAGGTAGAGTCCAAGTGTGGGAGCTGCCTCCCTGGCGTCGGTAGCATTGGTGCTCAGCACGGAAAACAGAATCGACGGAAAACAAATCAAGAAAAAAAAAATTAAATTAAATTATCACGCTGCAGTCCAATGCAAGAATTAACAATACATTTGTTGTATAAAACAAATAAAGTGGATGTAATAAATCCAACCTTACATTGGATGTGAGAGAAATTTGTTTTGCGTGTAGTATCGTAGGCGCGTTGCCAATTGGATTCATACTATGCTTGTAAAAAGAGGTATGACTTCAGAGCTAGGAGGTTCCTATTTTCTTTAAGGGCAATAAAAGGTTGTCATCAAGGCAATTTTTCGAATTTCAATTTGTATTTTCATCGCAATTTTTTTTTATCTATATAAGGCTGATAAAAATCTGTAAAAAAAATCTATAAAATTTCGCTGGATCGTAAATCTCTATTAAGTTCATTTATAGTTCAAAAGGACTTTGTTCGAAGTTCAGAATCTTGAAAAATGACTAAAGTTTGATTTCTTCGTATCTGTCTCCATGTGACATGGTTAATTAAACAGATAGAAAGAGAAACTAATATACATTCCAACGAGAAATCAGTTAAGCCGGCGCCGGTGGTGTAGTGGTAAGCGTGACTGCTTTCTAACACCCCGATGGGTCTGGGTTCAATCCCAGCCGAGGTCGGTGGGATTTTCCTGAGGCATAAAAATCTCTGGTCACATCTTCCTTCGAAAGGGGAGTAAAACCGTTGGTCCCGGCCCATGTGTATGTGTGTTGAATGGGTGCGATATCCTACGCAGGTGTGGAAGCTGCCTTCCTGAAAAGAGACCGACGTTAAATAAATGAAAGAAAAAAAAAAGAAAACGAGAAAACATCATATGTTAATTCAAAAGATTCCAAGTCCATTCGAAGATAAAAGGATAAGTGAAAGTGAAAAAAGACGATTTGGGTTTGATGCTCAGATTGCATTCAAGCTGCTCAAAAAGAAGAAACGATTATTTATCGGAATTAATAAATATAACAAATAAAATAAAAAACATTCCCCTTTTTTTGAAAAATCTGTATGATTACAGATAAATATGTATATGTAGCATCACTGCCTCAAGGAAGTGCACTCGCCTCTTATGTGGTCTTTAGTTGTAGACGATCTTTAGTTGAAGACGATCTTCTCAGGAGTTTAGAAGCTTTTTTTTGATTATAACATAGTCATCTCTGTTTGACAATTTGGTATTTTGCTATCATCCAAACCATTTGTTGATTAGTTCAATCATTGGGTTATCGTTCGGGTAAGGCAGTTGATGAAGTTCTCTGGCTCGAACCTGCCACATAACATACCTGAAATCTGATCATCGCCACTAGGGTCAGAGAAATGCGCTCAGTTCATTTAGGAGGAACTACCACCTCGGATGATGTAGGGTTTGGCGTTGTGGGGTACGCGCCAAGTGCAGACATGTTTTCCATACTACATATTTTGCAGTCACTTGGGGATAAACAAGTTATTTTCAAAACTGCAAAACTTTTTCACCACAACGTTTTTATGGGACTGCCATCCGATCGGAAAAATAGCCAAATGGGTTGTCCCATTACATAAGAAGCAATAGTACGCAGCAAACTCAACTAACGTTTTTCTCGCCTTGCTGATTTGTGCTATGGGACGGACTTGTCATGAGGGGCAGTTTACTTACTATCGATAAGACTTATCGTAATTGACATAAACAAACAATCATGCGATACAAGCCAAAACTATTAAATAACATCTTTGTAGCGTTTAGTTCGAAAATATTTATTATGCCCGATGATTGTCAAGTCTTCCCACCATGCGCTGGATTTATTCTCAACAAAGCTTGGTACATGAAGCGGTAGCTAAAACGTTAACTGGGCCTCAGCAAGGAAACCCACGGAGAATTGATCGTCATGGCACAAAGCGGCCTCGATGGCAAGGCAAAAGGTTCATCGCTGGCAGCAGACAGGCAGGCTGGCTGGCTGGCTGTTTTTCGTTACTGGCTTGTTTCAGCTGCTAGCTGGCTGGTTGGGGGAGAAAGGCGAGGCAATCCACTGCCACCCCTTCAAGTATACGTAGGGACCTCTGCCGAAATACGCACACAGCTCTGGGAATGTACGTACTCTACGAGCTGTAGGTTGCTGGAGTGTGCTAAGGATAATGGGAAAAATGTAAGCAGCTCAGTTTGAGAGAAACGTGCGTTTGCGGAGAGACGGGTAAAACGATGAGATTAACTGGGAAGTGTGAGGCTTTCCCTCTCATATTTGGATGCTGTGACTGTTGTGCCTTGTTGCGGACATGGAATGACTGTTTGAATTATTAATTGTAGGATCAAGTATTGCGAGGTGATGTGATTGAAATGAATAAAGGTTGAACCGTGCAGTTATTGTGTAGGTGATATAATGTCCCCTTCATTGGCACATAATTGTCATGCTGCAAATTAAAGTTGCATCCTTGATTGTTGGTATGATTTTGGAGTGGCATATCCAATGTGGTCATTCCATGGAGGGACACTCCCTTTACTGTGTTGGCAAGGCAAATGTGAGCGGGAGAGCTCTTTCTCCACAGTGTTGTCCAAGTCCATGGCTGCGCGTGAATATGCTGCAGACCTGCGCAGTTGCGCGGCTACTGATCTTTTCTCAGTCATCTCCAGTTGCCTTTGAGCCCGCGGATTGATGAAATCGCTCGACTGTTTGTTACGACTGCGATTTGTTGTCATATTAGATAATTTTTGTTAAAAATTATTATAATTAACCTAGCTCGATAAGGTAATTGAATCCGACGTTGGGAGCAAGCAATTGGAATGCATAAAGTGGAATCGTTACAGCCCGGGACCTCCCTTGTCGATACTGGTGAACTGACGAAGGCAGAAGAAGGAAAAACGGTGCGTGTGTCTCTGGTGTGAGCCCCGTGCTCGCTGTGTATGGAGGCAATGCCGAGGCAGTGCTGCTGACGAACGCTGTTCCACCTAACCCAAAAAAACTCGAGCCACTCCGAATGCGATGGCAAAATTTAGGAAAAATCATTCCACCAGCTAGAGGCGTGTGAAAATTCGTTTTTTTTTGTATGATTGAATGGCCGAATCAAGCATTGGGCAGTGAATTGGAATATTCCGGGGAAAAGCAGTTCTGGGAAATTCCCACAACCGTACAGAAGATCAGAAGGTGAAAGTGAGAATGCAAGCCTGAAACGTGCCGAGATGAAAGTTAGTGTATTAGAAAGAGTCACTGAATAGTGGAGGATACCTACAGCAAAGAATTCATCGTGGAATTGGCTTTGCCTGGCAGGGTGAAGTATGTGCAAAAAGTGAAATATGTTCAATGAATAGTACATCATTAAAAAGAGTATGGGAAACAACCGTAAGTGTAGCCGTGAATGTCAAAAAAATGTGAATTCAGCGATCCGATCCGACTGGGATAACAAAAGTGAAATTCAAAACCTCTAAAGTTTCAGTCATCTTAATCAGGTGATGGTCGCCCCAGAGAAGGAAACCATCAGTAGGTACAAGGAGCTGTCAGTCAACAGTTCGCAAACATCGTAGCCACATTAATCATTCGTTCATTACCTGTAGCATTGGGGTGGCTGACGTAGCTCCGGCTGACTTTTTCCGTGACCCTTGAAGAAAAGGCCAGATGAAAATCTGTTCACAGCATGCTAAAGATAAGAATAAGGAGAACAAGCCAGCAACCGAAGAAGAAGAAGATCAAGGGTGGGAATAAAGAAATATTTTCGTGTGAATTTCCTGACCAACAGAAGATTAAGGTATTCTTCGGCGTGGATGGGCTCACCTAGAATGGTCGTTTTGTGGGTGAATGATGAAAAGCGAAAACAGGTTTTCACCACCTATTTTGCTGTGATGGCAGAGGGTGGTGGTGGTGATGGTGAATATTGCATTTTCTTGTGCTTGCTTGTTCCTCAGCCATGCAATAGGAGAATGGGTGGTAGCAACAACAGGCAACGTTTGAGTTTTTAATTTTCAATTTGAGATGATTGGTTTTGATTTGGGAGGTTCTCCAGCTGCAGCAGTGACTTTCCAAGGATAGTGGAAACGAAAATCACGAAAATACTTTCACTCCGTGGTGAAATTGTTTTTATCGTCTTATTTTTACACGGCAGCGAGCGAAACAGGCTGCAGTGGAGATATAGAACTTAAACCCTGTTCCTGTTGATGACGTTAATGATGACGTTCACTTTGTGTGAAAGTGCATCCTGCGTCGCCAGTGTGTGTGTTGACATGTTTGTGCAAGGATTTGTAAACAGTGGTTTTCCATTTAGAAGCATCATGACAATACTGTTTGGATTTAGCTAAGCTTATCTTAAAATGACTTCACACATCTATGATTGTTATTATGTGATTGATCATAGCCAGACTATTTACACATTAAATAAGAAAAATAATTAGCTGGGAGTGGTCGGCCATTCTAATTTTAACCATATCAAGAACTGCTCATATAAATAGATTAATATGCGGAATGATGAAGAAGTAGTAAAGCGTGTTGTTTGGTGTTTTGGCATCTACACTAAATGGCAGTGAAAGAGAAAGCATCAAATCCTATTCAGTTAATCGACCTTGCAGCCAAATCGAATAGTAAAGATAGATTACATCGCGAAGAAAAATGAGAAGTTTGCTGATTGACCAATTCTAGAGTACATGGTTAATATGCTTGTTTTCTTTGTTTTTAACCTCAAACTTGACAGATTTTCATCTAATTGAGAATCGGAGCAAAAAAAATTATTCGATGAATCAATTAATTACAAATTTCAAACTTTGGAGTTTATCGACTGTTGAGATGACTAGCAATTTGTGGAATGTCTAGACAGTCTTGTAAAATGTTCAATTATTGAACTACCAAACGTTTTGATTCAAGTAATAGGAGCTTACTCTTGGATCTATGGTTCGATTTTATTGTAATATTTAGTAATTTAGTACACTCAGGTCTTTTTTTCACACAGGAGTTATGCATCGTGTAAAAAATGCTTAAAATAGTTAAGAGTGATGTCTGAGACGCATTCTGAACGTACGGTCACAAGATTGTTTTTGTTGCTCGTTACATTTGAAAGTCGTAATAAAGATACAGTCAACCCTTCCTAGCTCGATACCTGTTACAGTAGTAGGGGTAGTTGCTAACTTTGGTTCCTATAATAGTAGAACGCATTGGTTTCACCGCAACTATAGGTGCAAAGAGTCAAAATCTCAAGGAATATTAATTTTTGGGCTGATTTTAAATATGGAATATCTGCTTTATTTTAGAAGAGCTACCGATGAAAAATAACCTTATCACGTTTCTCTAATTATACGCGGAGATATATCCAAATTTAAACCTGGGATCACCTTCTCCCATTCTCAAAAGGTGTTTCTTATTTAGGTGTACCGTAAAACGGCGTAACATTAATAGTTTTTTAAAAGTATATTCTAAATATTTTTACAGCAATAAATGTTTTTCAAATTTTATGTTTTTAAAACAAATGATGAGGATCCAAGAGTTGATTCGTTAGTAATATTTGAACGAAAATTAAGGCATTTGCACTATTTTTTTTAGTTTTGTGGCCGAACTTCCGTATTGTGATTTGGGGTTACTTTGATAATGCTCGATGAATGTAGAAAAAAATGGGTGAAACTCAAACAATTTATTTCTTTAAATATGAAACTTTGAATGAGTATATAATTAGAAAACATAATAAGCAATAAGAATACAACATTGAATTTGTGATGGCTGTATCGGAAATACATTTCATAAGTGATGGTTTGAGTGCTTTTTCAAACAGGTGAAAAACACAAAAATTGTTTTTTTTTTATATATTAGTAAAATATGTAACACATACTTTATAAAAAACTATATACGGTATCAACGGAAATACCCTAAGCTACAATATGGAACCAATGTTTCTAATTTGGAAAAAGCGCAGCGAGTAAATTTAATCTTTATATTATACTATCAAAGTTACCCGCATTATCAAAGGAACCCCGTTTTACGGTACGGGAAAACAAAGCAAACAAATTTTCCCTCCTTTTCGTTCTCACGTAAAATCGCAAACAAAATCTGCACTTTCGTCTAGTTTGTAAAAAAAAAGTGGCAATAAGTTTCTAGATGGAACAGCTGAGCATGCCAGAATTCTTTATTTTGTTTGTATGAGTGGCAAATCGAAAAGTGGCTTTGGTTTGATGTCAGGTTTCTTTACTGCATTCAAACCTCATTATCCTCCAATACGTTGCCGTAAACAATGAAAACAATCACATAAAGAAAAACTTCCATTCGTATCCTAAACAGTAGATAATGCCAATGTATAGACGCAATCATTTTTCATTATAATTCCTGTATTTTCACCAACCCTCAATACAAGACTGGAATTTATGTATGCTGGTAAAATTAACATGTAAATGGGATAAAATTCTCATACAGTGGGAAACATTTAAACAAATGGGGTTAACAAGTACATACAATAGGAATATACAATTTGAGCCAGTGCTGGGGGTAAAATGAACAATGAGCACACTGTTCATTTCCCTCCAAAATATCAATTGTTTCAAGAACTTATTTAAAACCAATAATTATTGAAAATACTTACACTACGTCAAAATGACGAAACTAGTGGACAGACTTTATTCAATTTTAATATTTCACCTCGAAAAAGCTAATGCATTGTATGCGGAAATTAAAATCACAGTGAGATCTGAGCGAGTGCATTTGAATTTATTTGCATTTTTCAAATTTAACAGCTCCTGATCTGTTCAGGATGTTTTGAACAGTTAAAAAAAAAAAAATTCGAATATTGAATTTAACTTTTTTGGCCTATATGGTAGGTTTTATATCCAGAATAAGAAGCATGTCCACTGCAACTGAATATTCTTAGAAAGAAACCACACAGCTCTTACATTGGATCCAGATGGTGTGATGCAAGGCTATTTTGATTTTAAGTTCAACAGTAAAAGGGACAAAGCATGTTTTATCAAGCTCCAAGCTGTTAAAAGCAAAGTAACAAGCTGGTTTTCCATTAAATTTAGGATTGGAAGTTAACACAGAAGTTTTGAATTATGTTATCCAAACATGATTGTCAGTCTGTGCTATCGCCTTGTCAAAGTTATTTGTGAGTAAACCATCTATTTCCAGGAAAATAGTTTATCCGGTTCAGGGTAAATGTTCTTAATATAAATAGCAGGTTCACTACCCAAACCTGATAAAATCTATTGAAAATGATCAAGTGACACCCGAATAACCTACCCCGGGTGTCACCCGGTCATGATACGCCTCTGAGATCGTGGCCAACTTTATCGATAGCATTTAATTGAAGTCACATGAAGTCTCCATAAATTTTCGGAAAGATAACTATATTAGAAAATTTTTACTTATGGTTTTAGAATTTTAATGGTAATGATTATGGTAGTCAGTATGGCCCTTGGATGGTTTTGTATTGTCGGTCAACTTTACGTGGAATATATCGTGAATAGGTTGCCTGTAAACTAATCATTACCAATTCGCGATATATTCCACGTAAAGTTGACCGATAAAACAAAACCATCCATGGACCTTACTGACTACCATAACCATTACCATTAAAATTCACAAACCATAAGTAAAAAGGTTCTAATATAGTTCTCTTTCCAAAAATATATGGAGAAAACAACGATTTTGAATTGTAATGGTTCGTAACAACTCATTATTTGCAAGGGTCACTTCCAAAAAAATTAATACATAAGGTTTAAGGTTTATCACATGGAAAACGGAATGAACCTATTGATGTACTTGTTGAAAATTTAATAAATGCTTTAATTTTTACCAAATCATTGGCTTTGATTGGCTCATATACACACACATCTGTAGGAATGTGATAAGTTCTTAGCCAATAGTATATAAAAGGTTAATAACTGTTTGTGGCATTGACGTCTAATCTATTTGTGGTCTTGATCAAAGTTGTTGTGCATAGTTTTTCCACAGGTTTGGTCAAAATTGGGCATTTTTTTAGTTTTAGGTAAGCAAATGAATAGTTTCGTTCCGTGTCCCATACATTATCTCATACATACTTCAAAGCTATCGCGCAGATCGTAGCAAATTCGTTCAAGTTTTGCACAGTTATTGTGTACCTCAATTTGAATTGATAGAGCAGGAGCAGGTGGTTGTGGTTTGTCCATTGGTATAACAACGTAGGGGGGTGTAGCCCCCTCTAGAATTTTTATCACAATCACTTATTTTCCTTTCACATCAAAATTGTTCACTAATTGCCTAATTGAGAAATTCGAAAAATAAAATTAGCCCCCACTAGGAATGTTTCTTGGTTACGCCACCCTAGCAGCACACTTGTCACTGAACAATCTTAATTACTTGTGTGCTACTTATTCTAGTCGCAATCAAGTTGCAGCAAC